GAACCCACAACCATCAGATGGGTGAAGTCGATGCTCTCAAAGAAAGGCAAAAATAGCGCTGTTTCAAATTTAGATTGAGGTTGCAACTACAAGAGGCTGCCCACAAGGAGGTGTTTTGTAACACCTTCTTTGGACTCTTGCGGTTGACCAACTATTGTACAAAATGGCAGACCTACGCATTGACACATTGGATTATGCTGATGACCTTGTGATCATTGCGAGGGGCTTTTGCCAAAGTACTTTATCGTCAATAATACAAAGAGCCCTAACCACCATAAAGAACTGGTGTAGGGATAACAGTTTATCAGTTAATGCTGATGAAACGGTTATAATACCCTTTACCAAAAGGAGACGGTTGGACAAATTAGTCCAACCAAAGCTTAATGGTAAAGAAGTTTCATTTTCCACGGAAGTTAAGTACTTGGGCGTAACAATCGACCAAAAACTAACGTTGAATTTAGTAAAAGTAGTCAAAATAAATTGCGCATTCTGGCAAGAGTCCTAACTGGACACTGTTGTCTTAAAAAGCACATGTCCATCCCGGGAATAAGCAACTCAAGGATGTGTCGGTTCTGTTCCATAACGGAAGAAACGCCTCTACACATTCAAACTGATTGCGGACCCTTAATGCGCAAACGTAACACTCATCCGGGAAACTATGTACTCCACCCAGAAGAAGTGAAATTGCTCATTGCTAAGCAACTCCTTCCATTCATTGAAGACATAGGGCATAGCCGTGAACTATAGCCATAGCAGCGATCACAATAGATCGTCTAGGTCGCAGTGACACTGGTCTCTTTCCCTAGACCTGCATAGCTGCTCGCATATAAATAAAAAAGCCCCCTGCTACGATAAGGCGGGAATCCGTTCGTAGGGGTTAATTAGTACCTAGTGACACGTGAAGCAATTTTGTTGGTTACCTACTTTATCAGTAGTTGCAAAAATTGGTCCCAGTTTTACTTTATCCTACTTTTGAATAAACTGATTGCGGTATTACTTTGGTAGTTGGTACCTATTGTGTTTTGGAAATGCAGTGGTCACAAACATTCATGCGTGTAATACTAAACTGATTTGTGTGAAATTTTGCATAAAGGTATAACACGATCTACAGGATTTTATCTTCTCATATTATCGGACTTTTATTCCTAAATTTGATCGGGTTCCTTATGGAGCGTGATATAACATAAATTCACGCTGGAAGTCTTTAAATAAATTGAGTTTTTGTGCCACGTACGTAATATAATACCAACAACACTGCTCGACTAGATTTCAGCTCGCGGCATGGCCCATGTACATTTTTCTCTGATCTGCTTTTCTTATGGCATTCATCCACTTTTTTCTTATTTCATCCTTTTTCGGGACATTAAAAAACAGCTTGTTAGGTGTTTTTTCACTTCAATTTGTACACAGAGGTACAATGCAATATTTCTGACCATGTTTAATGTTTATAAAATACACGTGCCTCGAAACGAAACGGGTAGCGGATTAACGTGAAGGCAACCGACTGAGCGAGCGTGTCGAATTGTGACGTCACATCTCTGTGGGGAACAAAGCGGTCGCTCGTACCGTAAAACACCACTTTCCTCGTCATTTTTATAGGTAGAATAAACATTTTATACACTTTTTTGATACCCTTAACAAAATTGGGTGGTCAGACCCATTAATGGAAAGACCTTCAAATTATTGTTCAAAAATGCAGGAAGATTGTTGGTCACTTCCGTCACAGTGCAAGAAGCTCAGAAATTCTGGTAGAAAAATAAAAACAGATGAATACGCGAGTTTATAAATTGAAACGAGATGTAGAAACGAGGTGGAACAACGTGAATATAATGTTCGCTATGTTATATGAAGTCATAGCACCCCTTACAGTAGTATTAGTATTATTTTGCTGCTTGCAAAGGAATTAACATAGTTTTTATATGTATCTTCTTGTTGATTTGACTCATATTTTATTTTCAATTGTTTTATTAAAATACTTTCCAATTATTATTTGTTTCTCATTAGGTACTGAAGTACCGTTTATTATACTATAGAGTCAATTAATTTATTTATTTGTGTAGAACAATACAAATAAATAAAATTGAAGTATCTGTTTGTAATGTCAAAATAACCCCTTTTTACTAAATGCATATAAAAGTATATACCGTATGGTTGGGCGGCGGGCCTAAGGGTTGCCGAGTTCCGATTCCCCGGTCGAGCCTTGATCCTATTACGCGTGATGTTACACTAGATGGACTGTATACGCTGGAAGCTTCTTATGCTTCAACAAGATGGCGGATGTGGCACGCGGTTCCTTGACAATGCACTCGCTCTTCCGAAATCTATTGCTTGCCCAGGTTATGAAGGAATCCTACTTGAGCACACTAGGAGAAATGAAATAAATGAAAAGGCGGGTTAACTAACAAAAGTGCTCAAGTAGGAAGATAATTTAAAAAGGGAAAAAACACACTTACCGGGGTGTGACTCCGTTGCTGGTATCATTACCGCTTTCGTTGCGGTGATTGGGGCGGTTCCAGGGGGCGGACTCACACTATGTGAGGCGGTTACTTCTGGAGCGCGACTGCTCCAGGTGCGGTTTAGACTAGCGGCGCGAAGGAAGAGGGCGGTGCGCGACGATATCTCACACTATGTGAGGCGGTTACTTCTGGAGCGCGACTGCTTCAGGTGCGGTTTAGACTAGCGGCGCGAAGGAAGAGAGCGGTGCGCGACGATATCTCACACTATGTGAGGCGGTTACTTCTGGAGCGCAACTGCTCCAGGTGCGGTTTAGATTAGCGGCGCGAAGGAAGAGAGCGCACGAATACCGCGCGCGAGCTTATATCGGCTTTTCCCACCGAAGTCGGGCTCTCTTCTCATTGGTTGCAAGATTCACGCAACCTTCTAGAATCTCTTCTTTCCCCTCTCACCCCCCTTTTCGGCGTGTACGGAGGGCAATAGGTCAAAGTAAGGATAAACGCTTGGCAAGCATACCCTCGAATAAAATTAAAAATACACGAATCGTTTTCCGCGCAACCACCGTATATGTAACAAAAACACATTTCTTTTTTTATTTTACTGTCTGGCTGTTTGTTCCAGTTAATCTCCAAAACGGCTGGACCGATTTTGACTGGACTTTCACTGGCACATAGCTGATGATATAAGGAGTAGCTTAAGTAACTTAAGTGTGCAGCCAAGTTTTTTATGGAAAAAGAGTGGCAAGCGAGCACACAGTCCATCTGATGGTAAGTTGAAGCTGTGGCCCATAGATATCTACATCTATCCTCGATTACGAATAGGAATCAGACCCGTTGTCACCGTTGAGGACTAAGGTGGCCTTGTTTCCAGTGAAAAGGGTCTCTGGTTCTCTACACTCACCATGCAAAACACAGCGATTAAGTTTGCTTTTTTCGCTATACTTTTATTTTAGAAAAAGAATTAGGGTTCCTCGCAAAAAAATAAAAACAATTATTTTAGAAAAAGAATAAGGGTTCCGCGGAGAAAAATTAAAACCCTCAATTACACGCGGGGAACAGATAGTATGTAAAAAGTCTATACCGTTAATCGATCAGGGTAATATTGGAATCGGCACATCATTACTAAAATTACTATAATATATATATATATATATATATATATATATATATATATATATATATATATATTTATTTATCTACTATGACTGCTTCGAGCGTAGACAGAGAAACCTATAGACAAATTGACGCCTTCTTTCGCATTCGCACACGAAAAAGATAGATTTATGCATACGTCTTGCATAGAAATGAGACGCGCGGTGTGATTGCTTGTCCCTTTATCCGTGCCGTTTTTTTTGTTTCGTAAACTACAGTTTGCTAAATAACTTTGACGGTTCGTAGCGATCTAAGGAGTTTACAAGTTGGTTTAATTGAGAAAAAAGTGTTCTGTGAGCTTAAGATTGGTGAATCTTGTTCACTTTAGTTCTTAGAACAATTAAAATTTTTATCTAAATATGTTTAAAGTGCGTGTTGCCAGTGATGACCTACGGAACCGAGACGTGGTCCTTCACTGCTGGCCGTATGAGTACGCTCAAAGTCGCTCAGCGAGCTATGGAAAGGGCTATGCTCGAAGTTTCTCTGCTTGATAGACTTAGAAATGAGGATTTCCTCGGTAGAACCAGAGTGACCGACATAGTCCAACGGATTAGTAAGCTGAAGTGGCAATGAGCCGGCCATATAGCTCGAAGAACCGATAACCGTTGGGGAAAAAAGGTTCTCGAGTGGCAGCCTCGTACCGGTAGGCGAAGTGTAGTTCGACCCCCCCACTAGATGGAGTGACGACCTGGTAAGACATGCAGGAAGTCGATGGATGCAGGTGGCTCAGGACCGTGCTTTGTGGCATACCTTGGGGGAGGCCCATGTTCAGCAGTGGACTTGTGAAGGGCTGTAATGATGATGATGATGATGATGTTTAAAAGTCATAAAGATTATTGTATAACCTAAAACTACGTTATCGTCCTTTCTCACTCGAGGCCACGCTAATCATTAGTCTATAGGTTTCTCTGTCTACGGCTTCGAGCAGAGAAATCATTACCTATAATAGAATTATTTTTATTTTTATATTATTTTTTTTATAATAGAAATTTTAATGAAAGTACATAGTGACCATAGATAAGAGTGAACAGTGATTAAATACTCTTTGGTATGCTTTTTGCGTTTTGCACTTTCAAATTTCGACAAATTTTTACTACTCGGTATACAAAATATACTACATCAAATAATTATAATATTTACATTCATGATGATAAATAGAAATATAGTGTAACTTTTTTATTATTACTGTAATTAATTTTACTGTATTAGTGCTCCATAATGTAAAAAATTATACAAAATAAACGAGATTTTTTACGAATTCAAAGCAACATCAAAACATCTAAAGCTATCCTTTGCCTTTGCTTTTGACAATAATGGACAGGCGATGAAAATGTTATTTGTTAATATTTTTTTTGTAAAAATTTGTTAATTGTGTGGTCATAGAATGTGATCACAATGGGTGGTTGTATTGGAATTACTAGAAGCAGAAGCGGACCTATTGAAGAATCATCGGGAACTGTGTCGCGGCCTAATTCCGGTATGTGAGTGTCTGATTATCGCCGTGGATACTATTCTGTGAACTAAATTTACCTTTGTTTTAGGTGCGCTGAGAAAAAATCAGTCCCTATGCCATGAAACTATCAGATGGAAATCAGATGTGCCTTTAACAGAGGGCCAGCTGCGGAGTAAAAGAGATGAATTCTGGGATACGGCACCGGCGTTTGAGGGTAGGAAGGAGATCTGGGATGCACTGCGTGCAGCGGCGGTGGCAGCTGAGGCTATGGACTTTCAGCTAGCTCAGGCTATACTCGACGGAGCTAGTGTTTCTGTGCCGAATGGTTACCTTACTGAGTGCTATGATGAATGGGGAACAAGATACCAGGTAAGATGTTTGTCATCATTGTAACTATTTTGCTTTAAAGCTATTTAGTAAGAAACAAATCCTTATCAAATCGACAGATATTTTTTACTTTTATTTTTTTAAATCCTAAATTAGATACCATTTTATTTAAAATTATAAACTTTATCTCAGTACTAAATATAACCACATGTTATTTATCTATTAAAATGCTACTTAGATGAAAATTATTATTAATTAAACATAAATTGACCCTTTCTTGGACTGTGTATGTTGTATATTATATATTATGAACCTTTAATAATTTTTGATAAATAGCTGAATAATCCTTCACCAAGATTAAGTATAATTTATGGAATCACTTGTATTGTTATTGCCAACGCCTGCCAATTTTTACGTTAACAGTTTTCTTAATAAGCATGCAAAAGTCTATTGCTGAACATTGATTCCTCCCACTGTAGGTTGGATTTGCCTAAATTGTAGAGCTTGGGTGGGCAATCGAATATCATACAAAGATAATCACCGTACAAAAATGTCTTGCACCTTTCATGCTTCCCTTTCCCTGGTCTGGTCTGGCATAAACAAGATGGTTATACCACCATCTAACGGAAGCTACAAGAAAAATCTCGCATATTCTTTAGTCAACTCTAAAGATACCCTTGGGCTAAAATGGGATAATAGATCTTAAATCTCATGAACTACTCCCACATGGCTTGTAATTACACACTTCCAAATTGGTTGTGGTAATATCTGCATATTGAATAGTGGTGGTGTAAGAATATTTACTACCCCATATCATCCCGTGGGTGTCATAAGAGGCGATAGTGGGAAATACAGACAGGTGATGTGCAACAGCATCTTCCTGATAACAATTCAACATAATAAATAGACTGTGGTTGTCAACCGACCTACTGAGCGTGGAAACTATGGTTTCTAGGAGGCAATCTGTTGGATGTAAAATCTAATTAGAATTGTTTAAAGTTGATAATTAACTTTAATTTGTGTGTATTTCCGTCCTGTTCTATGTAACTCAATTTTCTATAGTCATGTTACACTATAAAGGTGAATTTTATCATTTCAATTGTGATTTATTCATGAATTTAAATAATTTTGTTCATCTATAACAAAACTCATTTGATGTGGAGCTTTCCTAATAATAATAATAATAATAATAATAGCCTTTATTCAGACATTTTCATTTACAGTATCTATCTGGATTAATCTATATCTAACACTGGATTATATATTATATATATTTACACTCTCAACGCTTAACTATTGTACATCGACAACCCTGTCTGTATGCCACTTATTGGCAAAGGCCTCCTCCAACCTTTCCCATTCTTTTCTATCCTTAGCAGTTCTCGTCCATATGCCTCCTGCTATGGCTTTAATATCATCCTCCCATCTTCTACATGGTCTACCTTTTTTCCTTTTCATATGACCTGTAAACCAATTCATTATTGATTTCGACCATTTCTCTTTTCCTCTAATTATATGACCTGACCATTTCCATTTTAACTTTTTTATTATTATTGTGACATCTTTTGTTTTCGTGTGTTTCTTTATGGTTTCGATTCTTATTCTATCGGATAGTCTTTTCCCCATCATACTCCTTTCCATGGAGTTTTGGCATGTTTCTAACTTTTTAATGTGTGCTTTAGTGAGTGCCCAGGTTTGGCAGCCATAAGTTAGTATAGGTAGTATGCTGGTATCAAAGAGTTTCCGTTTGATGGTTATGTTAGTGTCGTTATTTTTCATTATTTCTTTTAGGCTCCAAAATTGTTTCCAGGCATTTCCAATGCGTCTGTCAATTTCTTTTGAGGTTAGATTTATAGGAGAGATTATCTGGCCTAAATAGATGTATTCATTAACATATTCAATCAGGTTATTATTGATCAGAATAGGTTCTTCCTTGCCATTGGTCATAGCCTTGGTCTTTAATGTGTTCATGACCAATCCCACATTGCCACTTTCTCTGACCAGGTCATTCAACATCGCCTGCAGTCCGTCACTCGATGACGAGAGGATTATCAAATCATCGGCAAATCTCAAATGTGACAGGTTTTCGCCGTTAATGGACAGTCCACATTTCTCCCAGTCTAATTGACGAAAGACTTCTTCCAAAACGGCTGTGAAGAGTTTCGGCGATAGCGGATCGCCCTGACGTACGCCTCTTCCTATTATAATATCTTTACCTTCCTTCTCTAGTTTTATCTTAGCCTTGCTGTTATCGTAGATATTTTTTAGTATTCTGATGTATTTATTTTCAATACCTTGGTTTTTGAGTGTCTGCCAAATTTTTTCATGCTCTATTGTATCGAAAGCTTTACTGTAATCCACAAAGCAGCAGTAAAAGGTTATGTTGTATTCATTGGCTTTTTCGAATAGTTGCTTGATGACATGAATGTGGTCTAAAGTTGAGTATCCGCTCCTGAAACCCGCCTGCTCTCTTGGTTGATTTTCATCCAACGTGCTAGTTATTCTATAGAGTATAACTTTTGCGAAGATTTTATATATATTCGACAATAGACTTATAGGTCTATAATTATTAATGTTATTTTTATCTCCTTTTTTGTGTATAAGTACTATTGTTGACGTTGTCCATTGGTAAGGTATTATCTCACTTTGTAAGACTTCATTGAAGAGATGTTTGAGAATTGGTATCAGGTGGTTTCTATTTAGGATGAGGAACTCGTTACTTATGCCATCTAATCCTGGGGCTTTATCTGTTTTTTGAGTTCTCACAGCTTTTTCTACTTCATCGTGTATTATATCTGGTACTTCACTTCCTCCTGTTAGGATTGTTGTCTGTGCAGTGTTTTTCCTTGAATACAATTCTTCAAAAAATTGAGTGGCTATTGATATGATTTCAGGGCGTCGCTTCTCGCATTTATGATTTTTGTTTATTAAATTTGGTATCCAATCTCGTTTTTCCAATAGTAGTTTAGCTGTTTTTTTGGTGCCTCCGGTTCTTTGTATGCATTTTTCCAGTTGTTCTAATCTATACCTCTGACGGTCTTTTCTCATGTGTGTTTTTATTTTATTACTTAAATTAGCTATGTCTTTTCTTATAGTTTTTGTCTTTTCAGGGTTAGATATAAGGTCTGCTCTACTTCTTATCAGTTCTTTAGTTTTGTTTGTTATCCATTTTGTCTTATTGTTTCTACTTTCCATTTTGCCTTTTTTAGTAGTATAGAGGAGTTCTTCGAATTTATTGTATTTACTCTGTATGTCTAAGTCCTTTGTTTTTTCTATGAATTGTTCTATCTTTCCTTTTAGTGAATCGGTACTTTCTAGTGTTAAGCTGTTGGTTTGTTTTACTTTAAAGGGTCTATCTTTATTGAGTGTGTTTATTTGTAACTTAGCTCTTAGCATCCTGTGGTTGCTGTTGAAATTAATATTGTTTAAAACTCTACAGTCCCGAAAGTCTTTACTTTTGTTTGTTAGTATGTGATCTATCTCGTTTTTGTGGTGACCATCTGGAGATATCCATGTCCATCTGTTGTTCTCACGTTTTCTGTATAGAGTGTTTAGTACTTTTAAGTTGTTTCCATATGCCAGTTGGACAAGTTTCTCCCCATTTCTTGTTCTTTTGCCTGAACAATATGGACCCAATATCATTTGTTCTCCGTCTCCTCTTGCCCCTATTCTTGCATTAAAATCTCCCATCACTACTAAATTGTTGTGCGAGTGTTTGATTATTGCGTCCTGTAACATAGAATAGAACGTGTCGATTTCTGTTCTACTTGATTGTTCAGTTGGAGAGTAGACTTGCACAATCGACCACTTTTCATTTTTCGGAGGTAGTTTTATATTAAGTATAACAATACGCTCTGAGATGCCAATGAACTCGTCAATAAATGGTTTTAATTCATTTTTTATTAAGAATCCTGTTCCATATAAGCCTGGTGTTTCTCCTTTATAATAAAATATAAAATGCCCGTGGTCTTCTATACTCTCCCCTAGTCGTCGTACTTCACTCAAACCCAGTATTGACCACTTTACATTTTCTAGAGCTAGTATTAGTTCCGTTAGACTCTCATGAGTTCTTAAGGACAATGTATTGTATGTCGTAATGTGTATTTTATCTGCTATTTGGCGATGTTTTTTAGGAGGAAGGTGTAATTGGAAATTAGTTGGAGGGTAATAGTCTTCTTCCCCCACGGTGACTGGCCGGATTGGGGTGCCTTTAGAAAAAGTTTGTTTTATTGATGTTGTGTTGTCTCGGTTCCGGGTGTCGATGTCATTTACAGGTTTTTTGGTATTTCTGATATCAAAGCTGAACTTCCTCTTTCCACATAACTGAGTATGTTAGGTCTTATAATGTCTTTTCCTACAGTTTTGGTCGCTGAGTTGATTTGTGTCTTGAAAACGGTAGTGGTAGCTTTCTTTTGATTTGAGTTGTTTGGTGAACCTGACTCTTCTCTTTTTCTCTTTTCTGGGTAGTTATCTTTGTTTTTCTTTACTACTAATTTATTGTATCTTATGAATGCTACATTTCCTTTTTTTTTTTTTCTTATTGAACCTGTAACTGTAGCTGCTTGCGTTTTTCTAGCATTTCTTTAGAATAATCTTCCTTAATGTATATTCCTTGTGGAAGTTTGGACTTGTTTCGCAATATCAGGTGCTTTTTCCATAGCGTAGTAATAGTGACTACGACCGGGCGGTTTTTGTTGTCGACTTGTTTCCCAATTCTGTATATTTTACTGATTTCATTACTATCGAAGTGTATTTCCATGTCTATTATGACGTCCTTGATGTAATCCACAAGCTCACATTCGGTTTTTCCTATTTCTTCTATTCCAAAAAATACTAAATTATTTTTCCTTTTTTTCATCTTTCAAAAACTTTACTTCCATTTCTAATTCAGATATTTTTGTTTTGAGGCTATAAACTATTTGATGTGGAGCTTTCCTACTGCATGGCATATATTATTAAGCATAACACAAACTTCCTGTTGTTAAATAGAAATAGAATAGATAGGCTCGTCCATGTGTTGTATCTCTCTTGTGGTTGCTTGAAATGTTTCAATGATTACAAGCTTTATTGTGACTCACCCAATTTGTGTGTATTGTACACCATGCCATTATGATGATTCATGCCCATTTCTCCTTTCTAAACTATTGTTGCCTTTTGTGAACATATTTTTTAAATGGTGTATATAATTGTTAATTATCATTCATCATCAACATCATAATCAGCCATTGTAGTTTATCATTTTATGAAGATTCAAACATACCTCCCTGTATAAATATTATACTACTATTAGCAACTTCGCTGCCGAGCCCATGCTGGTGCATGGTGCGGGGTATTGTGCAGGGGGCCGACCATGCGCTGTCGCGGGCTAGGCTCAGTACAGTTATGAGTCAGTGTGCCGCCGGCATTGCCTTTGACGTGTTGTGATTGCATTGGCACTGCGCTTGACTTTTTTAGGATTCATACAAAGTTTACGGTTTTTAAATAGTGCCACACGGTTTTTATTTTACAAGTAATTGAAATGGCAGATGAGGCAGATCCTTCGCGGCCTAAAAGAACTCATTTTTATACCAGATATTTACATGATTCAGACGTAGAAGATTAGCTGTAGAATTATTTGCCGATCATGAATCGAGCGATGAGTTTGACTTTGGATGTGAGGAAAAGGACCAACCTTCGGAGGATGGCAAACACGAGCAGCTTAAATTTTCTGCCATAAATATAGAATCAAATTCACTGATCAGAAGGCCACATTTTTCCCCACTGCAGTCGACTCCCGATACTTCAGCAGACCAACTCAATCTATCCCAAAAAGATATGTCTTGGATCAGACCATCAGTTGAAGGCTCCACATCGGAGTGGACTGAAGCAGGCGAAATGAAAAACTTTTCTTTTACACAACCCAACGAATTTTACGCTAATCCTGAGATAAGACTATTGATTATTTCAACTATTTCTTTAGTGAAAATTTTCTTACAATGATTTGTGATGGAACTAATAAACAAGCAGTCAAATTATCAGCTGGAGTCTACAAATCTCTAGAATATTGGCATGAAAGGAACTAACCGTTTCCAAGTTGAAAGTTTTTTTGGTTCTACTATTTCATATGGGCACTATTCGGCTTAGTGGTTTTCAGGATTACTGGAAAACAGGCAGGTTATTTTCCATACCAATTTTCACTGAACGGATGGGTCGGAATAGATTCCTACTGATCATGAGATGTCTCCATTTTACGTCTGAAGCAGATAATGACGACCTAGTGCTGAAAATTCGCAGGTCGTCGACTATTTCAATATGAAAATGAACAAATGTTAATGTTTCGCCAATTTATAAAAATTAAAGGCCACAAATATGGGATCAAATTAGATATGCTCACTGAACCTGACGATTTGGTTTTGAAATTCCGTGTGTTTGCAGTTGGGCTTGACCACGAGATTTCTGGAAAAGGTCATGCCGAAAAAGTAGTGATGCAGTTCATAAATGAAAAGCTTGCACTGTACATGGACAATTTCTATAACAGTTTTGGGTTAGTAAAAAACTCTCGATAGTAATATGTACTGCACTGGAACGCTATGCATTAATTTGAAACAAAATCCTCCAGAGGTTGTTCAAAAAAACCTGAAGAGAGAAGAAAACATTTATAGATACTGCCAAGGGGTTCACATAGGGAAATGGAAGGATAAACGAACTGTTACCTACATTACAACAGAATTTAAAAAACCCGAGGCAATAGCTAAATATAATGAATTTATGTCTGGAGTGGACCGGCAAGCTCAGTTGTTAGCATTTTATCTATATGAAAGGAAAACTTTGCAGTGGTACCTAAAGGTTGCTGTTCACACATTCCAGCTGCTACTGATAAATTTCTTCAACATATGTAATAAAAACTCTGGTCAACCTAAAATGACATTATATGATTACCGCTCTTCAGTGATAAGCGCGTTGCTACCAGATAAACGTGTCACTACAAATCAAGGACCTGTAAAAAGACAAGTTCCTATGCTGCATAAAATCAGGAAGAAAAAGCAAAAAGAAAATTTAAACGTAAGCAATGCTGCCAATGCATGAAAGAAAAAAACGTAATGACACTATTTGGCATTGCTTTACTTGCATCAAAAAACCTGGATTATGTGTCGAATGTTTTGAATTATATCATTCTTCCATTTGAAACACTGATAATTTGCTATCGGTTGATATATTTGATTTCATGCTAAAAATTATATTTCAAGCAAAAACTGTGTATTTATATGGTAGGTTATCTTAAAAATTGTTACTTATAATGCAAGGTGTCACTTTAGTTCCTTATAAATCATACTAGTGATTGTATTTCTCAAAATTTTAATTTTGTTCTAAATAAATAATATCAATACTAAATACCTAAGCACACACTGGAGCAGGCTGATTTTCCAATCGCAGTGCCGTGCCCGCGCAATTGCGGAATTTCTTTTTACTGTTTTACTTTATACGAAAATAATGATTACATATATTTTTTTAAACCTTTTAACTGATGTCTAAGAAGCTAAATAAAAACAAAAAAAAAACTGTTCAGCATTTGGCACTCGACCGTCACAATTTGGCTGTCAGCGAAACTATTAAAACCAAATGATCTTCCAGGCATTTTCATAAGTCTACTTGCATTACAGCCTATCAAATGTCCACTGCTGGACATAGCCTTTCCCTATTGATTGCCTCATAGAGGTGGATATTTACTATAGCTACCACGATTGGCAAGCGGTTGGCATCCACAGTTTCTTGGCAACTCTTTTTACAGTTGTTAAAACTGCAGCATCATACCATGGTTTTATAATGCGTTGAATATGGTAGGTCTGCATGACAGCTAAAATACCTTAAGAAATGAAATAAATCTTACATGGACTTATGTAAGCCGTTATTCTATTTTGTAGCAGCATGGGTTCTATGGTGGCAGAATATAAAGGGAACTACTCCTGGGCACAGGCCTCTTCCCATTTCTGAGGGGGTTTTCCGAGTAAGTGTACACCCATGCTGCCCCAATGCGTGTTAGCAGACTTCATATATCAACAAACTCGTGCCTGCTCTGATAAAAATCTTCAGTGATATCCTTATATCTGACCAGATTCCTAAACAATTGGAAACCTCGCACATAATTCTTCGTCGTCACCCCATTTAGAGACTAGACTTAAAATCGCATTTATCCGCTCCACCAGGTCCTCTCTAAATGATAGTATTAATGCTCATCCATCTTTTGTACTGGACATAAATTTCTCCGTGACTGTGCTGTCATCTGCATATCTAACAATACCTGGTAAAAGTAGGTCATTGATGGGCAGCAGGAAAATAGTCGTAGAGAGAACAGAACACCCATTAATATACACTAGGTCATAAGAGCAGCCATCTATGACTACCCTGATCATCCCTTCACTCAGAAAGTCAGATATCCAGTTGCAAAATTCGGCGTGGATGTCCTAGGCAGGAAGCTTGCTCAGCAGACTTGCGTGCCAAATCCTATCAAAAGCCTTCGAGATATCAAGTGAAACTGCTAGAGCTTCACCATTTTTCTCGATGGCCTCGCCCCAAAGGTGCGTGAATATACAAGGAGATCCCCGTCCCGAAGTGGACCGTCTCAAAAACTCAGGCGCACAATATTTAATTAACCTTGCAGGAAACCATCAGATCCACTGGCCTTGTTCACGTCTAGCTTTTGCAAAGCTCTACGTACCTCTTTGATATGGATAGTGACTTTCGGCATCTAAGCATCACGCCTAGGCAGGGTTGACAGTTGTTTAGTGCCAGCATCTAGACGTGAATTGCTCGCATACAGAGATGCAAATAAATTTGCTATCCCAGTCGCGGAGTGAGCCATTGTTCCATCAGGTTTCTGCATAGGTGGCAATGAGGGACGGCAAAAGTTGGATTCGACTGCCTTCGACAGGGACCAAAATTGCTTACAATCAGGAGGATAGGGTGCTTTACACATGGTGGGGGGTGCCGCAAAGGATATGATGCTAAAAGGTGCCGCATCTTATCTTAGTCTTTTGACTCGTATATCCATACTCTACTTGTGCCCGCTGGACTGTCATCCGGAGGAGAGATGATCGATACGGATTTCACCAGACAGTGATCGGATGATCCCAGCGCAGCTGAGACAGATACCGAGTACCTGTTTGGGTTTGTTGTCAGCAGAAGGTCCAAGCAATTAGATGTATGTCCGGTTACATCTAGTACTCACGTCGCTACTTGAACCAGATGAGTGAGATCTAGCGATTACGCAAGTTTGCGCGCTCCCGCCGACCACTCCTTGTGGTGGGCGTTAAAGTCCCCGAGAAAAACTAGCTCCGGAGACGGATACCGTTGATGGACTATATCTGCCATCTCTATCAGGTGTTCAAAGCTTTGTCGTCGCCTGGTCCCCGCTGTGCGATAGATAGACATACAACATAGCAACAGAGACACCGACAGCAAATGTCATCGCGGACGTACACACAGCCCCCAGCGCGCTGTTTGAACTTATGTTCAAGCGTATAACTTAGGTAGTTGAGGTGCACCACATCAAATGGAGTTGCTATCTGCGTCTCCGTTAAGAAGAATAGGTGCGGCTTTTCTGTCTCGAGGTGGCGGTGGACCGGATCGAGGTTATTATGCAACCGTTTAATGTTCGTAAGTGCACATTAAGCTGGAGGAAGTGTTCTTAACTTTTTTCATGTTGGTTGGGTGTTTGCAACAGTTGAGAAATTGAGGCGTCGCTTAATATACCAACTGAAGACTCAAGAGCTTAGCTAATCATGGGGAACTCATTTGGAGACAACGGGGACGCCCGAGCCCCACACCCCCGAAATGACCACCGGGTCCTCCCATCTAGTCGCCAACTGGCACAGTGGAGCATTTAGGGACTTTTCGCGACTTGGTGGAGCCTTTGGCACGTGGCTGGCGCGCTACTTGGACCCCAACTGCCTGCGGTCGGCCAACTGCAAGACCGTGCCTCGGATCCCGCTACCCTCCAGAATGAGTTACCTCAGAAGTCCAGACTACTCTTGAGCGATGCAACTGATAGCCCTTCTGTTCCCCAAAGGCACTGGTTCTCCCGCTCACAGACGGAACGCAGTGAGCTACTTCGCGCCTGAATCTGACTCCCGTCGGAGTCGTAGTAGTAGCAAGTCAGGCGGCCGCAAGCAAGTTGCAAGGCGGCAGCAAGTTACGAGGCCTACCAACGCATGATGGGATCTTCAGCCGTCACCACACGCTAAGGTAGCCAGTGATGCCGTCGCCCGGCGTGGACCGCATGCAGGTAGATTTCATCCACCCTATAAGCCACAAAACTTCAAAACGAGATTGTTAAATCAGTGCGTGTTATCAGTGATTACTTATGGATCTCGGACGTGGTCTTCTTTCACTGCGGGCCGTATGAGGAAGCTCATACGGCCCGCAGTGAAAGAAGACGGCTTGATAGATAGATAACATATGGAGCTCGCTTAGCGACCTCCATATGTTATCTATCTATCAAGCTATTAGCTGGATAATACTATAATTATCCAGCTAATACTATTAGCTGGATAATACTACAGTTGAGAACAACGACCTTCGGAGACAAATCACAAAATTAACACAAGAAAATAACCTACTAAAAACTCTATGTCAATCACCAATAAAGGATATCCAAATGAAACACCAAAACATAATAAAAGAGAAAAATATTCATTCTGCTCACTTCAAAGTTTTATATTCGCCAACCGCTTCTACGCCCTCAAAACTATCTGAAAGGAAAAAAAATAGAAAAGGTATTTGATGCGGAGATAGCTATTATCTTAAAACAAAGGATTTCGGAATTAGAAAACCAACTAAAGAGCGCTGAAAACGAAATTAAAATTCTTAATGAAAAAATTCAAATGTTGCAACATAAAATATCATCAAAAAATGTAGGGTCTTCAATAAAACTTACACAAGACTCTAATACCGTAATTTCAGACATCAGAAAACAATATGTTAACTGCGATAAAATATTTATCTTTGGCACACAACAATGCATTGGCCTAGCCTCTGCTTTAATACGCTCAAGAGCAAATACGGCTTATGAAAAATATACCATTTACTCGGAAATAAAACCGTATGCACTTACGCCTGATGTGCTAAAAATATCCATAATACACAAGTAGCCTCGAACGATAAAATCATAGTGTGTGTGGGAGAAAATGATTACGACCTGAAAATACTATCTTCACAAATATGCACATTAATTAACTGGTACAAGTTAAATAGTATACTAGTCTTAAGTTTGTTTAAAAATAAGTACATATATGTTAACGATTTAAATAATACTTTAGAAAATATTTGTAATAAATTTGAAAACTGTCATTACGTGAATTGTACGTCCTATAATTTATATTCTATGTGTAATTCAATAAATTCCGTAATTGACTATATTGATTATAAGAATAAATTTCTAAGTGCCAAGCAATTAAAAAAGTTTATATTACGCTGTAATAATAAATCGATATTATTATCTGATAAATCCAGCAGCTCCAAATATAAAAAAGGAACAATTCCCTATTATTTTGCTCGAAAACAATCGAGTATAACTGTTTCGGGAGCGACTAATATTAATAATTTTAATGATATAAATACCGCGCCTAAAGGTAAAAATACCGTATTACTTTAAACTATTAAATAAAAACTATATTTTTCGTGAATAAGAATACTACAAATAAGATGCTTTTAAAAATATTACATCAAAATATCGCTAGTATATTACCAAAACAAGGTGTATTAATGTTAACATTGGATGAACTAGATAAGGCAGGAAACGCCCCAGATGTTATATGTCTTTCAGAAACTTTCTTGCGTACTTACCATGAAAAATACCTAAACATTAATAATTATGAATTAGCCAGTTCGTTCTGTAGGGATGAGTCTAGAGGCGGTACATGTATTTTAGTGAAGAAAGACATTGCATATAAAAAATTAAATAAGATAAATAGTTTAGCAACGCAAAAGTTATTTGAAGTTTGTGGTATTGAGATTCCTCTTTATAATTTGCTAATAATTTGTCTCTATAGGACTCCCTCTACAGACGCAATTCTGTTTTTGGACAAGTT